CTGAATCGAACCTGGGACCCTTCAGTCCACAGGCCGACGCTCTAGCCACTGAGCCAAACTGGTCAGGGCTAAGATTACTTTATTTTTAATTATAGAGTATATGGTATATGATATATAACATATAGTATATGATATAAATAATGTATATTATGTATATAACTAATTATGAGTTACATAAATATGCATATGTTCAAATATACTTATCATATACATAATATATATTTATCATACATATGATAATAATTTTTACTGATGGCTCCCCAAATCCTGAGACTGTTTGGCCAGCCAGTAGGCGTGGCACCCCCACACTAATGCCTGCAGGTGGATTGGACGTGAGGGTCCAGGGAAAGGGACAATCATGGTTGCTGGCTTGAGCACATGATGTGGCCTGGCAGACAGGGGAGGAGCACGTTTGGATTGGCTGCCTCCTGCACACCCCCCACCAGGGATTGAGCCCACAACCTGGGCATGTGCCCGGCCTGGGAATCAAACCGTGACCTCGTGGTTCATAGGTCGATGCTCAACCACCGAGCTATGCCAGCCAGCCTACCTTTGTTTTAAATATAATTTATTTCGTTTCTAAGATTACTTTATTATTATTTTTTAATATATTTTATTGATTTTTTTTACAGAGAGGAAGGGAGAGGGATAGAGAGTTAGAAACATCCATGAGAGAGAAACATCCATCAGCTGCCTCCTGCACACCCCCCACTGGGGATGTGCCCACAACCAAGGTACATGCCCTTGACCTGAATCGAACCTGGGACCCTTCAGTCCACAGGCCGACGCTCTAGCCACTGAGCCAAACTGGTCAGGGCTAAGATTACTTTATTTTTAATTATAGAGTATATGGTATATGATATATAACATATAGTATATGATATAAATAATGTATATTATGTATATAACTAATTATGAGTTACATAAATATGCATATGTTCAAATATACTTATCATATACATAATATATATTTATCATACATATGATAATAATTTTTACTGATGGCTCCCCAAATCCTGAGACCGTCTGTCTGGCCAGCCAGTAGGCGTGGCACCCCCACACTAATGCCTGCAGGTGGATTGGACGTGAGGGTCCAGGGAAAGGGACAATCATGGTTGCTGGCTTGAGCACATGATGTGGCCTGGCAGACAGGGGAGGGGCACGTTTGGGGGGTCATGAATTTGGGATTAGACGTGGTATTTAGGCACCTTTAGGACATACATGGGGCCAAGGCCCAAGCCCGTCCGGGGCAGCAGTGTGGGGGTCCCCGGGGCCTTCACACCCCGCTTCAGGAGGGACAGGCTGCTGACCACTCCTCCATGTGCCTCTCAGCCCTCAACAGCCTGACGGGCGAGTTCAAGGGGAAGTACTACCCTCTGAAGAGCATGACAGAGCAGGAGCAGCAGCAGCTCATCGACGACCACTTCCTGTTCGACAAGCCCGTGTCCCCACTGCTGCTGGCTTCAGGCATGGCCCGCGACTGGCCCGACGCCCGTGGCATCTGGTGAGACCCCTGTGCCAAGCCCTGCCCTCCCTCCAGCCTCCTCCAGTCCCCCCAGGACCCTCCTCGTTCCTCCACCAAAGGCAAGACCATAAGTGATTGTGTTTCCAAGAACCGGAAAATGACCTCACCCCCCACCCTTGCCAGCCCTGTGGTCTGTGTCACATTTGGGGAAACTTGGACTAGAGAAATGGCAGTTAGGACCTTAGACTTGAATGAGACTCTGGGTTCAAATCCCAGCGCTGCCACTGACCAGCTGGGTGACCTTGGGCACATCCCTGAACGTTTCTCTCCCCAGGTTCCCATCTATAGAGTAGAGGTCACAGTACTTTATAGCTGTGGGGGTTCTTGTGAGGGTTAATGAGTTCATGTATGTAAAGTATAGAAAACAGTGCCTGCCCCATAGTAAGAGCTCAGTACACCTTGCCTATTAGTATGATCCTGTTTGTGTTTTTTGTTGTTGTTTTTTTTGGTGAATCCTCACTGGATTTTTAGGGAGAGTAGAAGAGAGAGGGAAAGACAGAGAGAAACACCGATGTGAGAGGAACACATCGATTGGTTGCCTCCTGCACGAGCCCCAACCTGGGCCCAGCCGGGGAGGAGCCTGCAACCAAGGTACGTGCCCTTGACGGGAATCGAACCTGGGACCCTTTGGTCCCTAGGCCGATGCTCCATCCACGGAGCCAAACCGGCGAGGGCTAGTATGATCTTTATTACTAACGGCTGTTGAGAGTAAGGCTTTCTGTAAATCTCTGAATCCCCGATTCTGATAGTCAAAGGTTTAGAAAGGTTTTGAGAACCTAGGTTTCAAGTGAAAGGAGAGTAGAGAGCCTAGGGCCAAGATTTACAGATAGGATGATTCTAAGATTTCAAGATTTTCAAGATTTTTAGGTTCTAAGATTCCACTCATTTCAGATTCTGTGATTCCCTGGTTTCAGATATTTCCAGACCGGAAGTGTCACGGTTCTCACTGAGACTGTGGCCGAGATGTCACCATATGATAGGAAGGTTCTCTGGTCCCGAGACCAGATGTAGGGTTTCCAATATTTATCCATCTTGACTCCGGGCTTCTGAGGATGAGATTCTGAGAGTCGGTACTTGAATGCTGTTCACAGACCTGAGCCCCTACGAGTCCTGGTTCCAGGATTTGAGCTCTCACGGGGCGTGTGCGCTAGTCCGCAGGTGTGGGCTGCGGTTCTGCGAAGAGATGCCGCCTCATCCTGCCCTCAGCCCGCTGCCCTCTAGCGGTGGGTATGTGTTTGGAGAGGGCGCGAAAGGGGGTCCCCCGGAGCTGATTCCTTGGCCTCCGCTGCACCCCACCTTAGGCACAACGACAACAAGAGCTTCCTGGTGTGGGTGAACGAGGAGGATCACCTCCGAGTCATCTCCATGGAGAAGGGGGGCAACATGAAGGAGGTTTTCCGCCGCTTCTGCGTGGGGCTGCAGAAGGTGGGTGCCTGCCCTGGCGACTGACTTCTGACTGCGCCCGGGACGCCCCGCCCTCTTGGCGAGGCCCCGCCCCACCCCACCCCCCAAAACACCAGCCACCAGCCCACACACTCCCAGCCCTTTCCAGGGTCACGCCCACTGGCAGCCGGCTCCTCCCTATACTCCCCAAACTCCGCCCCTTCGGACGCGTTCAACCCCATTTCAAAGGCCTCGCCTCCTGGGGAACCCAGGCCCCACCCCACACTCAAGCCCCGCCCCCAAGAGCCCAAAGCCACGCCCTTCAGCATCCTGCTGTGATCCGTGCGGTCGGTCCTTTCCTCTCAGGGTTCCCCAGCTGCGTCCCCTCAGGACCCGGCCCCCACGCACATCCTCACGTCCCGTCCCTTCCCACGCCGTCCGGGTTTGGGGCGTTTGGGGGCGCCCGCTGGCGCTGACCCCGGGTCCTCTCACCTGCCTCAGATTGAGGAGATCTTCAAGAAAGCCGGCCACCCCTTCATGTGGAACGAACACCTGGGCTACGTGCTCACCTGCCCCTCCAACCTGGGCACCGGGCTGCGCGGAGGCGTGCACGTGAAGCTGGCACACCTGAGCAAGCACCCCAAGTTCGAGGAGATCCTCAGCCGCCTGCGCCTGCAGAAGCGGGGCACAGGTGCG